TTATATGTATTATATATTCTTACAATAGAGATAATGTGAAGAGACTCGTTAAGAGAAAATACATTTACAGTACTGTAGTGTATTGAAAAAATCTGCATGTAAGTGGACCTGCACAGTTCAAATCTATGTTGTTCAAGCGTCGGCTATAATTTCTTTCTCCTGCTTAGGACTGGTGTTGAGCCCCACTGACACAAAAATGGGTTTTCCTAGTGTTATTCATGTACAATTGTTTATTCACACCTGGGGGGATGATGGTAAATGATTATTTAGTGAGCCTTCTCCCCAGTTTTCACTAATTCTATGGCAGACAAAGATCCTGTTTCGAGTCCACAAAAGGGGAGTAAATATTTTCAGGATATACTGAGTTAAGGAGTGCTTTCTGCTGCTCATTTGTTTTTATTTGCAAACATTTGAGAAAAATTTGTAGTAGAAAACTAGGTGAATTTCCAGTCCTGCTACAAGCATTCTGGTCTTTAAAATTGAGTGAGAATTATTGATTAGCATGGAGCACAGTATGTCTCTACTGTTAACTCTTTTAAAAGGTACCTTAACCATGTTTTGCAAAATTAACAAAATGCATCCTTACCAAAGTTGCTATACTTGAAACTATGGGATGTTTCAAAGATGACTGACAGTGAAACTCGCCCGAGATAATTGCACGGGAAGTGTAAATCACTTGTAAAGATCGCAAAATTAAACTTGCTAAAAAGCCCATCATTTGTATACTACCAATTAGCAAAAACTACCCTTGTTGCAAAGCATTTTATGTCAGAAATCTGGGGCAATAGGTGTCCTTGGCCACCATCTCAAGTATTAACATATTAACATTTTTCAGATCATGTGACCATCCTTAATAGTACCCAATGATGAACTTTTAAAACGTTTATAGCTCAGTTTGGAATAGTACTTTCAGCCACAATGGCACCTATGGTACACAGAATTAGAATTTCACATTTGCCACAGCACCTAATAAATACCAAAGCAAAATCTCCTAAGGGTTTTAAAGGAAGGCACTTGACAATCATTCCTGAATTTGTGTTTTGCAGGTGAAAATGACTAGTAGAAACTTTGTGTAATATAAAAACAAAAAAATAAACCCACCACTTACATTATCTGTACCTCCCATAGAGTTCTTAGTCACCAAGGGTGCCCAACAATGACTGGCTGAGGTGTCTGAAATAATGAATGTGGGTGGTGTAGGAGTTTTGGAGGGCAGAAGGGAAGCAGAAATTTTGTAGTTTATTCACACTGTGGCTGGTGGCTGGCTTCTTTGCCGGCCCCTTTGGGATGATGAGGCGGTAGCAGGGCCTACAACTGCCTCGCCTTCCCCTAGATCCTCCCTCAGCTTCTCAGACTAATGGGCCAGTGTGCCTTCACCTTCATGACGAAGGGTCCTGGCTTCCTTAGGACACCCCTGCCACCAAGGTCAGAAGAAAACAAGACCTGACTCAAGTTTCAGTCCATCCATGTAGGCTCTGGCTCTTGTTTGTGGTTCCATCTTATTCTTACTCTTTCATCTACCCACCTTCCCTTATAGACTGCCGGTGGGCTTTAATCTCCAGCATCAGATACAAAGACAACAGACTACTTATCCAGCCCTCACAATTAAGGTCAAACCTCTGTAATACAGGTTGTTTCTAGTGATTCTGCTCCTTTGAACACTTTTAAGAAATTCTTAACCTACACGATGCTTGTCTACCAAAACTTGATATTTAAGCAAATTTTAACTTTTTCGCAGTAAATGAAGAGGCAGTTTTTACATTTGGTATATCGATAAAATTGTATCTTAAGGTAACTGAAATGTGATTATTAAACATCATTTGGAACATTCATGACCCTAGACCTTTAATTTCTATGCACAAATCATACATTAGCTAACTAGCTTTTTAAAAAAAAGACATCATGATACTCATTTTAGCGACAGTACACTGCGGGGAAAAAACCCTTACATGGTGATACCTTTGAAAAGAATGGGAACATGTCACTTCCCTGATTTCTGTAAGGACAACATTAGAAATGAATTAGTTCTGTCAGATCATTTCTCTGTGAATTCGTTGATTACCAGTTACATCTACTATACACTTTGTATATTCTTACGAATATTCCCACTGGTAAATTAGCATGGTTCACACTTGAGTTATTTTGCTAAAGAATGTCTGAATGCATTGCACATACTTTTTTTTTATTATTATTATTTTTAAGATTTTATTTATTTGAGAGAGAGAATGAGAGAGAGCAAGCACATGAGAGGGGGGAGGGTCAGAGGGAGAAGCAGACCCCCTGCCGAGCAGGGAGCCCGATGCGGGACTCGATCCCGGGACTCCAGGATCATGACCTGAGCCGAAGGCAGTCGCTTAACCAACTGAGCCACCCAGGCGCCCACCTATTTGTGATTCTTTTTTTTTTTTTTTTTTATTTAAAGATTTTTCTTTATTCATTTGAGAGAGAATGAGATAGAGAGAGCATGAGAGGGGGGAGGGTCAGAGGGAGAAGCAGACTCCCCGCCGAGCAGGGAGCCCGATGCGGGACTCGATCCCGGGACTCCAGGATCATGACCTGAGCCGAAGGCAGTCGCTTAACCAACTGAGCCACCCAGGCGCCCACCTATTTGTGATTCTTTTTTTTTTTTTTTTTTATTTAAAGATTTTTCTTTATTCATTTGAGAGAGAATGAGATAGAGAGAGCATGAGAGGGGGGAGGGTCAGAGGGAGAAGCAGACTCCCCGCCGAGCAGGGAGCCCGATGCGGGACTCGATCCCGGGACTCCAGGATCATGACCTGAGCCGAAGGCAGTCGCTTAACCGACTGAGCCACCCAGGCGCCCCCCCCTTTTTTTTTTTTTTTAAAGATTTCATTTATTTGAGAGAGAAAATGAGATAGAGCATGAGAGGGGGGAGGGTCAGAGGAAGCAGCACTCCCCGCTGAGCAGGGAGCCTGATGCGGGACTCCAGGATCGTGACCCAAGCTGAAGGCAGTCACCCAACCAACTGAGCCACCCAGGCGCCCCTGCACATAGACTTTTGACATTATAAAATGAAAATGGCAACAAAAATTAAACTAAAGCAGACTCAAAAATCTACAGCTCCAGATTAGTCTCATTTAGAAAGCTGCTTCTGATAATAAAGCCTTAATAACAGACATATTCTGGATGCTCTTGAAAATACCAGTAGCATTTCTACCACATCCGTATTTAGCTAAACTAAACACAAGTAAATCAATTGATTACAGGGAAGTATTTTATATAGAACAGGGATGAGATTCATTAGCTTAGATTTGAGACAAAAGCAACAGAATTTCAATTCCAGTTTGAAAGAGGTCTACCAATCTTCAAACAGCATGGCCCCCTAAGTATAAATCTGGTGCCCAACTGGAGAAATCGGTAGTTTTGCTAGAGGAGAAGTTGGCGTGCCCTGCCGATACCAACAGAACCTTACTCAATTCTAAGATGCAACACCAAGGCTAAAGAAAATTTTTACTGTTCTGGTGGAAGTCCTGTTTCTCTTTCCCCCAAGCACGTAACCTTTTTCTACGTTCCACATAATATATAATCACTAGCAGGAAGCTTACCCAAAACCCACCTTCACAAAAAGGAAAACATACCTTCTCAAAGCCGTATCTGCACACAATTTTAGAGCTTCTGCTAAAACATTTTCCCAAACTAATGTATAGCTTTGAAAAGCTCCATAATCAAATGACAGGTACCATTTACTGAGCTGGGCATACAGGGCTACGTTTTTTTTTTTTTTTTTTTTTCTTCTAACTACCAAAACACATGGCAAGGTAGATACTATTCCCATTTTAGATAGGAAAATGAAGGTAAGAAACAGGTCTCCCACCTGTAAATGAAGCCAAAATTCATGATCAGACTCTCATACAGCCTACTACTTCTCATTTACTGAAGAATTTAAGTAAATAAATAGGACAAACATTTTTCTAACAAAACCACTTTTATTTTTTAATCATTTTTACTACCAAATACAGAACAAAACTCAAGTGTGGAGGCAGTATTCACTTAATTTTAACTGATTGTGTTAAAGGCTTGTGTCCCAGTGCAACCCTATCTTTGTGCATAAAATGTTCACTGAAAAATAACCTAAGCGTGGATTCCCTTTGCTGTTACCATCTTAAGTCAGTGACATTTTAAAGCCAAAAATTTAACTGCTTTTGGAAAGTTAGTATATTTGTATGCAGAGATTACAAGTGAGGGAATAGGTTCTAATACTAGGTTTAACCATGTGAAACTGTCAATATTTTTACTAGCTTTTTCACTTAAAAAATGGCAGTGTCATATGGTTCAACCTTTATCTACCAAAAAAGTTTTCAAAAGTTTAAACAAATGTCATTTGTGTTCAATTTTGTGTTTAAAAAAATGCAATGATTAATAGAGGACTATTACTAGAACTTCTTACTCACTATAGACAAAATTCCTTTTGATAAAATCTTTAAAAAGTTACTACAAACTGTAAAAACAATGCTGCTTTTCTATATGGCATTTCAATTTTTAGAAGTTAAAAAAAATTATACTCAAACTTGCATAAAACCTGCAATTCCAAGTCTCATTTTCCCCATAATGCCAGCCACTCAACACTACTCGAGTATTTCATAAATGAATAAATATACTATTTAGTACTGTACAGTAGATACATACCATGGACAGTTTCTATACTATTCCAGAAAAGGCAAATATTTATATTTCACTGAAAATATTTACTAGATATAGGTGGGATCATTTATCCTGAAGTTCACTGCTTTACTCAACCCAATTCCTATACCCAGAATATGAGAAATAAAATTACACTAAAACTGCTTTAGATAGAAATAAAGCCAACTTTGACGATTCTGATGGCAACTAATCGCTACAGTGAGGGATTTCATCTTATTACTATATTTAAGTATGTGGATTGAAAGGGGAAAGATCTTGATTTGTAAAATGAATGAGGTAAATGTCATACATTCAATAGTGTAAATAAATACAAATACAGTTTTACAGGAACATGAACATAAGTTTAAGGGTTTTATTATCAAAGTCTTGTAAAACAATTTCAGAAACTGTACATCAACATGGCACAGACTGTAGCCTACTTTTGTTTATACTGCACAAAAGTGAAGCTTGAAACTCCTGTAACTAAGAAAACAGTTGCCTAACTACTTTGCATTTAACATGGAATCACTGTGTGTATAAGATTACTACTGCAGTAACAGTAACACAAATTTATTGGTTTTATACAACTTGAGATCAAATAAAAAGTACATTATCAAGTAGATCTCTCTTATTTTAAAAGCATATGAAGGTCAATTTAAAATGCACTACCCCCTTTTTCCAACACTGAGATTAAAACAAATTAATAAAAGAGTGGAAAATTGAAAATCAGGACAAGAGATAACTTTCTTTTACAGATGGGACTCAGGATAGGCAGAAGCTTTCACTGATGTAGATGTGGAATAAATTATTTCAGGAAAAAAAATTCCCAAACACCTTATGAAAAAGTATACAACTCTACTTCAAAATATGCTATTTACTCACTGCCAAAGACAGTTTCATTTGAAATCTTGTTTCTGTAATTAAAGCCTAATCAGCCATCAAAAAAGGTTAGTGCATATATAACCTTTCAAAGTTAAACAAAAGCCACAAAAATTTAGCCACAAGGCTTAAAGGATTATCTATTTCAAATGTTCATTTTCAGATGTAACTATAAGAATGTTAATCTGTCATGTCAACAAACAAGACCATAAGTAGATCCATCATGTTGGAGGATTTTAATGACATTTAGGATATTCCTGCCACAATTAACATGCAATCAGTGCATTCCCTACATGGCTCTATTACGGCAATGAATCAAATTCTAGAAATACTATAAGTGAACTTACTTAATAAAGGAGATCATACAACATAAACAATCCATGCCTGCTGTAGATGCATGCAGCTTTTCATTTTTGTTATGAAGCAGCACCAGAATAGTAAAACTGCTTGGTTACTCAATCAGATTTCACCATGTCAAGACTTGGTTACTCATGTATCATTTTCTAAAAGCTTTTGGATGTAAATAACTAATATCAATATCAGGAGCTTTATAACCATTTATAACTCAAGAGCTGTATACATCTAGGTTTGAGATGAACGAATACAGCATTAAGAAATCACACAAAGGAATGACACTGATGCATGTATACAGTTGGGATTCCCATGGAGGCAATATTCAGTCACTCATATCCATGTCCTCTTCATGATGATCATCCCCATTCACTTTGGATTCTCTTAGTGAATCACCAGTTCCCTTTTCCACAGAGCATTCTTTTGTTTTAGGGGAACTTGGTTCTGTTGGCTTCTTCTCCTCCTTTTTCTCTTTCTCGCTGTCATACCCTTGTTCCTCTTCATCGTAATCCCGTGTAACCTGCTTTGCCAAGGAGAATAAAAAAAGTAAACGTCTTCCCAGAAAAATCACTTCTTAAAATTACCAGCACTACCCCAAATATCAAAGTAAATTAGTTTGTAAACATACTTTTACATCTTTATCACTCTCTGATTTTCTTTCCCGATCCTTTTCCTTATCTTTACTTTTCTTCTTCTTGCTTGTTGATCGTTCTCTTTCATCTCTGCTTCTTTCTTTATCTTTATCTTTCTTTTTCTCCTTTTTATGTCTAGGATGACAGTAAAATATTCTCAAAAAAAAAAAAAAAGGCTTTAAAGGAACCAGTCAAGAAGTTTCACCCTTAAGTGTAGCAGTGAGTTTAAACTTGTTCAGATGGTGAGCTTGACCCAAGTTCGCATGACATGAAGAACAACAAACACCCATTTCAAAACACTGGATACAAGTTGTGCATTAGTGATACAGGCAAGAAGACTGAAACTGGTTATTCATAACCAGTTACAGTCTAAACTGTAGACAGTTTAGGTCTAAACGCTTTTTATAATAACACAGTCTAAACACTTTTTATAATAACACAGTCTCAAGCAGAAAGGGAATGTGTATCAGCATGTTCTTAAGCACTTTAATTCTTGAAAAGTAAGAAAAAGTCTAGGAGAGTTTTTAAAATAAAAACTGACAGCTTCTGAAATGTAGAGAGTACAGATCCATAGCACTAACATTCTTACCTCCTAGGAGACGGTGAGCGAGACAATTTTCTTTTAGGTGACCTAGGCTTTTTAGGAGATCTTGTGCCACTCCTACTTCGTCGTCGTCGTCTCTCTCTAGAACCACAAATGTGCAAACTAGATTTTAAATTACAGTATTATCTAAAAAATGCAGACACATCACAGCAGATGTGTCTATTAAAGGAGCTCCACGAGGAACTCCTACAAAAGGATCTGATAATTAAAAATCCATTTTCTTTCTTGTTTAAAAGACTTGATTTTTAAATAATCTCTACACCCAATGTGGGGCTTGAACTTACAACCCTGAGATCAAGAGTTGCCTGCTCTTCTGACTAAGCCAGCCAGGTGCCCCTGAAAGACCCATTTTCAAATACTGTTTTGAGCGGAAGAATCAAACAAATAATTTTTTAACAAACTGTATGCTTTTACTTTCATGCCCTCAAGAAAACCCTAACTTGTGTCAATTCTTAAAGACAAACGTTCTGGGGCGCCTGGGTGGCTCAGTCAGTTAAGCGTCTGCCTGCAGCTCAGGTCATGATCCCAGGGTCCTGGGATCGAGCCCTGCATCGGGCTCCCTGCTTCTCCCACTCCCTCTGCCCTTCCTCCTGCTTGTGCTCTCGCTCTCAAGTGAATAAATAAATAAAATCTTAAAAAAAAAAAAAAGACTAAAGTTCTAATTCAGGAAGGAAAAACAGTCTGAAGTAAACTATTTCAGAACTCAGTTTTAAATTCAAAAATTCAGTGGCCAGAACAGGTATAAGATAATATGCCATGATATGAAAATCAACTGCTAAAAAAAAAATCCCAAAAAATTACTTTTGTTAGGTAAAATTCAAGAAGTAGAGTTGGTAGTAACAGAGATCAGACTGACTCCCTATATCGCAACAAATGATGTTCCCCTCAACCCTGCTTTGAAAAATTAGTTTTTAAGATGCATATAGCCTTCTGCTCTCTAAAACTGTGGCATTTTCTTTTTTTTTAAATATTCTGCTTCTGTCACTATTCTCATTTTAAGACTTGCAAAATGACCATTATTACAATTTAGGCACAAAGAAAATAATCAAAAATAAAACCCCACACTTTCAGTTGGTTGAATGCGGTGGCTGGGTGATAGACATTGGGGAGGGTATGTGCTATGGTGAGTGCTGTGAATTGTGTAAGACTGTTTAATCACAGACCTGTACCTCTGAAACAAATAATACATTATATGTTAAAAAAAAGAAGAAGAAGAAGAAGAAGATAGCAGGAGGGGAAGAATGAAGGGGGGAAAATCAGAAGGGGAGATGACCATGAGAGACTATGGACTCTGAGAAACAAACTGAGGGTTCTAGAGGGGAGGGGGGTGGGGGGATGGGTTAGCCTGGTGATGGGTATTAAAGAGGGCACGTTCTGCATGGAGCACTGGGTGTTATGCACAAACAATGAATCATGGAATACTACATCAAAAACTAATGATGTATGGTGATTAACATAATAAAAAAAAAGTTAAAGAAAAAAAAGATGTAAAAAAAAAAACAAAACAAAAAAACTTTTTAACTCTTTAACAGCCCTCTGTGACCTCCCTGACCTCCCCTGCCAGAAACATTACACACAACTTTTCATTCATAAAATATTGTTTGTCAAGTTTGTACACCGCATACTTTTTGCTACTGCTCTGTGTAACCAAAACTCGAGATACCCTAGATGAAAGAGATGTTTTATATTTCGGTGTCCCTGTATACACCGTAGCACAACTACAAACACAGCAAGTATGTAATAAAAACTTAAAAGAATATGCCTTAAGATAATCCAATAATTAAGTAGGGTAAGGTGCTTATAAGTAAGTACATTAAGTAAAGCAATAGCAAAAAAAAAAAAATGCCTCTAGTTTTCAAGGTAAGAAAATATATGTTGCTCATCCCATCTTTTATGCCCCTTTGCTACCTATATATTCTGTAGACCTGGCTTCACATTTCCTTAAGCACTCACATCTAGTTTTGTTTTGTTTATATATATATATATATATATATATATATTTTTTTTTTTTTTTAAATTTTATTTATTTGACAGGGAGAGACACAGCAAGAGAGGGAACACAAGCAGGGAGAGCAGGAGAGGGAGAGGGAGAAGCAGGCCTCCCACCGAGCAGGAAGCCCGATGTGGGGCTCAATCCCAGACTCTGGGATCATGACCTGAGCCAAAGGCAGGCACTCAACAACGGAGCCACCCAGGCGCCCCAAGAAATTCAAACTTTTTAAGGAACTTCCAAACGGTTTTCCAAAGTATCTGCCCCCATTTTACATGACTAATGCTAACATCTTTTCATGAGCTTATTGGATACTTGCTTATCTTTAATGAAATGTCAATTCAGATTCTTTGCCCATTTTTATACTTGGTAATCTATGATTCTTCCTATGTTTTAGATAACAAGTTCCTTACTAGCTTATATATAATTTGCAAATACCTTCTAGCACTCTGGATTATCTTTACTTTCTTGACAGTGTTCTTTGAAACACATGTCTGTAGTACTGATGATCTCCAATTTATCTATTTCTCTTGTATTGCTTGTGCTTTTGGTGTCATTTAGGAAACCACTGCCAAATTCAAGGCCATGAAGATTTAATTCTATGTTGTCTTCTAGCAGGTTTTAGTTTTAGCTTTTATATTTAGGTCTTTCATCTACTGTATTATTTTTTATATATAGTGTGAGCCTCCTAGTGAATTTGAACAACATCAAGATTAAAGAATACTGCAGCAAGACATGTCTAAATGAGATTGGAAGAAAATGGAAGTAGCCATCCTTACTACTAGCATATGAATTCCACATTAAGAGTGAAAAATGTATTTTCTATGGAGTAAAGTTGCAACACTGAATTTTCACTATGGCAGATTAAAGACACAATTACTAGTCTAAGAATGACACAAATTAGAACTTACATGGCCTCTCATATTATCAATAAATGACTATATATGTGGATATTTTAAATATGACTTACTATAATAAAATGAATTTAATGCAGTAATTCAGCATACATTAGCCGCTAAAACTTCACAAACAAACCAAATCAGGATGTGAAACGTATATGGCAAACAAAAACTGACCTCTGTTGAATTCCATGTCATTTCAAATATAACACCATAAAATATTAAGTAAAAAGAACTTTATTCTTCCAAATTGCTTTTAAAAATCTTCAACACTGAAGTATGTACCTATGTACTGGAAAACATTTAATGCTCAAGGCCTATTGATATTCTTGCAAAGTTATAAAAAGTGCCAAGAACTCATAATGCCACCTTCACCTTACCTGCTTGCACTTCTGGAACGTCTGGCTGTGCTGTAACTTTTTGGTGGTGTTTTGGAACGTTTCTTTTCTTTGTCTTCCTTCTTTTTGTCTCTAAAAAATGAACACAATTTACGAATGCATTAGAAGAAATACAGCAACTACAAATAAAAACAAAAGCACAATGAGATCTAATTCTATCCTTTTTTTTTATTTTAAAGATTTTATTTATTTATTTGAGAGAGAGAGAATGACAGAGAGAGCATGAGGAGGGGAGGGTCAGAGGGAGAAGCAGACTCCCTGCTGAGCAGGGAGCCCAATGCGGGACTCAATTCTGGGACTCCAGGGTCATGACCTGAGCCGAAGGCAGTCGCTTAACGACTGAGCCACCCAGGCGCCCCTCTATAGTTCTAATTTTTGATCGCAGTAACAGTCCCTCAAGGAGACTCAGTCATGTTTCCACAAATTCAGAAATCTTTTCAAAATACAAATTTGAAAAGAGTAACTCCCCATTCCATAACTTTTCCATCTCTTGCCATTGCTTCTTGGATCAGGTACAAACTCCTTAGTGGGAACAACAACAGCCTTCTGTGTGTCACCTGCCTCCTTACACTTTCTGACCTTATTTCCTAGCCCCCCCCATACCAAAATACTTGCCATTCCAAGAATTTATGCTAATTTTGTAAACAACATTCTCTACCTGAAACCATGCTCCTAAGTGCAGTCAATTCTATCAGAATTTAATACTCAGTCACTTCTCAATTATCTTCCAATACTACTAGCAATGACCCTTACTTGGTAATTACATTAACCCCTCTTGTATAAAAAAAAAGTTCCTTGAGGGAAAGAATGCCCAATTCCTCTTTGTATGATATTCATTTCATTATGCAAGCTTGCTGACTGACTGGATTAAGATGACTCACCCTATAAAATATAGTAACTGAAAGCCTCATTATAGGCTGAATACTCAGTAAAGCTACCCCCAAACCTTTGTTCCCAGCTGAGCTAGATGTTCACTGAGAATAAACTGTTTCGGACTCCAGCTGTCCTTGTTATTTTAATTACATAGTTAAATATACAAACGCATAATGGATAGTATAAAAGGTCTGCTTCTAAAAAATTAGGCAAATATTTTAGAAAGAGAAAAGGACAGTTGCTAAAAAAAATAAGCATTGTGAAACTGTATGCGTGTGACAACTATAAATGAGAAAAATAAAATAAAAATCTAGGCACTTTTTAAAAGTGATAGTTCTCTTCCCACTGTAAAGGTGGTTCAAGTGAAAAAACAATGACTTGGTAAATGTTACTCAAGACTACATATTTGGGGCGCCTGGGTGGCTTAGTCATTAAGCGTCTGCCTTTGGCTCAGGTCACGATCCCAGGGTCCTGGTATCGAGCCCTGCATCAGGCTCCCTGCTCCATGGGAAGCCTGTTCCTCCCTCTCCCACTCTCCCTCTGCTTGTGTTCCCTCTCTCGGCTGTGTCCCTGTCAAATAAATAAATAAAATCTTAAAAAAAAAAAAAGACTACATATTAATTTAAAAGGGTCTGGCCCTATATGAAAAAGACTGACTACTGAATGAATGCATGTTTAAGTCAAAATACAATGTTAAGGTAACGATGTTTGTTTAGTGAATTCTTAACTTTAACCTTCTACTCATTCCAAATCATGGGACAGGAGGCTAAGTATGGTTCAGTGTTTGCCATAGAGTAATTCTTAATGTTTATAAGGTGCTGATAATGGGATTTATAAAGGTGAATTAAGGCATGGTTGCCTGCCATAAACTCTTCAGCATACCATAAGGAATGCTGGTAGCACTACATCCTTAGCAGGGCTGAGAGGTAAGAAGGAAATGAAAGAATGTAGTAGGACAGAATTTTTACTACAAAGAAATCGTATCTCTGTTTTCAGCTATAAGGAGAAACCTTAAGTTTACAAAGGAGCCCAAGAAAACAAATGTCAGCCTCTTCAAACTTTAAATAGTTCCTTCTCCAATCTAGCCCTATCTCCTTTTTTTCTCCAGCTCTTTTGTCCTTAAGTAGCCCATATTTAGGGTCTTGGCAACTCTAAAATTTGTCTTCCCACCCAATGTCAATGGTCTACTGTACCTGGTTTTTGATGTGCTCCTTGATCTTCTACCTCTCTCTCTGGAATGAGATCTTCTCCGTCTTGGACTTTTGGATCGTCGCCTACTCCTTGACTTAGAATGTGATCTCCTTCTTGATCTGCTTCTTGACCGCCTAATAGCAAAAGAAAGCCAATACACATATATAAAGGTAGAAAGACTAGCTCTGTGACTGTTTCACTTAGTATCAGACAAATGATTCAGACATATGGGGTTAACCATCAATAAGTGGGGGTAATTTCCTATCAGTTGCTGTAAAACCACCCCTTTTTTTTTTTTTTTTTAAAGGTTTTTATTATCTTAGAGAGCGAGAGCAACTGGGGGTGGGGGGGCGGGGAGAGAATCTCAAGCAGACCCTGTAGCCTGATACAGGGCTTAAATCCACAACCCCGAGATCATGACGTGAGCCAAAACCTAAAGTCAGATGCTTCTGAGCCACCCAGGTGCCCTTAAAACATCTTTGATACCCTAGAAATCAATACTTTCTAACACCTAGAATTTCTCACCTTTTAATCTCAACCTGTCAAAATAGTCCTATGCTCTGACACTACAACTCTGAACCTGAAAATTGTACTAGAGAATGAAGGAAAATAAAAAAGCATCTGATTCATTTGCATCATCTTCCACAACTATATAGAATTTTAACATGTCTTCTGTGATTCCTCACTACTGCAGGTTAAATCTATTTATCAATTACCAAATACTTAACGTTTGCTTCCTACATGCTTTACAAATACTTACTCTCATAAGGCTGTCAAGTAGGTACTATTATTATTCTCATTTTATAAATGGAAACCACGTAGTGTGTTGTTGCTCTCTCTGATTTCTAATTGTTCTCTGAAATATTATTTTACTTCTTTGATTTACAACTTGAGAGAAATCCAAACAATCCAGCCCTATATACATATTTTATATATATTTTATATATATTATATATTATATATATATATACATATTAACTCAGCACAAATTGCCTTTTTCACTCTCATTTCCCCTCAACATTATCACTATCTCTACATGATCATCTCTTTCCTGTCATGTAACAAGTGTTTGTCTCTGTGCCCTCTCCCCATCTCTTCCCCCAATCCTATACACTTTCTCTTCCAGGACTTAAGAAGCACAATTAACTTTTTGATGTTGTCACTAATCTTTCTCTTCTTCTATTTTATTCTCTTAAGAATAATTAAAAATAAACTGCATCCTCTGCTTAAGACTTTTATTCTAGGGACCATTCAACCTGTTTCTATGGAAAACTTCTAATACGGTCTAGAACTTCTTGTGTTCACAGGTGCCCAGGAGATGGACACTTTAGAAATGATGAAGATTTATGTCCAAATCTCAGTTAAAAGCAAGCAAATGGAGAGCATTCTCTGAGCCTATTACTTAAAGAAAAATAATAGCACCTATATTACAAATATTATTTAAAATGAAATTTTAAAAAGTTCAGCTCAGTACCTTAGCATAGGTATATATATGAACTACCGATTCCTTTCTTTCCTCTTACTAATGTGCTAATATGGCTTCTGTTATCTCCTTCTCTAAAAACCACTGTTTCAAAACCCATCACTACTGTCTTACTGAATTCAATAAACTTTCATTTTAATCATCTATTTTTGACATTTGGAAATTACTAAAACAATCCCTCTCAATAACATGTCTTATAGCCTAGGAAACGTTCATGTAATGCTTACCTGCCTTTCTGTAAGCTTCATAAAAACGGGGATTAAATGTGTCTATCTTATTCAACACTAGACTCTTGAGCAATTACTACAGTGTCTGACTCCAATAAAAGGTACTAATAGTATATTTTGGGTGATAGTAACTCTATAAAATATCAGAATCATCACTTTCTAAGAGTTAAAAAGAATTATGGAAAATAAAAATTGATTGTGTTAGAATTAAGCACTACTCATCTTTTGAGGATTCTGGCTTTAAGAATACTTTCAGTTGACAGCTAAACTGAGTTACTCATTTTTCCTACCTTTAATGTATACACAAAAATAGATATAGAAACAACAAATCATGAGCACATTCTTACAGTTTCTTTCTAAACAAAATGATTAATATAAAATAGTTTCAAAAATCTGATAAACAGGGGTACCACATCCATCCATAAGGTCCTGAAACAGTTATTTTTTTAAGAGTAATGTGCTGCAGAGCTAGCTACTTTAACACATTTTCTAGTTTATATGGGCTCTTAAAAAAATCAGAAAAATATATGAAATTAGTATAAGTTTGTTGAAAATAATTGTCATTTTACATGCCAAGATGCTTAAGATACTATAATCCATAATAATTCTCTGTTATGATGTATTATTACAAATGTCCAAAAACACTCTGTTCAAGGAAGTAATGTTTCACTGTTATTTCCCACTGGTTGTATTAAAGTAATTCAAATTAAAATCTGAGAACACTAGTATGTACTTGGTATATAAAGAAAAAAGGAGTTAGGTTCTCAAACTTTTTTAAGTGTGAAACTAAAATATAAGAGCATGGTCCTGGAAAATTAGGAATATAAGTAGTACCAATATTTCACATAAGAGTAAAATTTTAGCTGATCCCAAGCAAGCAAACAAAAAAGGAGTTCCTCGGGTACAGATGAAGATGTGGGAAAGAGCATTAGGCAGAAAGGAACATCATGAGCAAAAACACGGATGCGTACAAAAATGTACATTCAGGCAAATAGTACTGTAGTTAACTGTTTTTGAGTGGCAAATGACAAGTGTGGAAAGATAAACCGGGTTGAATAGTGAAGAAACCTGAATGCCATTCTAAGGTTTTATTTACCATGTTGTTAAGGCCAATAAGGGTGCTCCCTCAAAGTTTAACAAGGCTGTGACATGACCCATACTTGGGTTTTTTGAAAGACATCTTTAGGAATGAGACAGGCTGGGGGAAGATGGGAGGCAGGGGGAAGAAAGAAAGAAAGAAAAAAGGCAACCCTGTAACATTCTGCTATAGACTGAATTTTGTGTCCCTTCCAAAATTCTTACGTGAAACCCCATTTCCAATGTGATGATACTGAGGCGGCACCTTTGGAGGTAATTAGGTCATGTGAGTGCAGCTTTCACTGGGATTAATGAAGTTATGAAAGAGATCTAAATCCCTCACCCATTCCATGTGAGGATATAGTGAAAAGACTTATAAACAAGGGTCCTCACTAAACACCTAATTTGCCAAGACCTCGACCTTGGATTTCCCAGCCTCCAGACCTGTGAGAAATTAATTTCTGTTGCTTGTAAGCCACCGAGCCTATGGTATTCTATTATAGCAGCCAAGTGGACCACTGAAATGACCTAATGAAATGACTATGAAATGACTTGATAATGTCACGAGGTCCATAGGTCAAAATTATTTTCAAAAAACCAAGATATTTGCCCTTTCCACTGTGTTGACATTTGAATTAATAGTGCAAAAGCAATGGTAGTGTGAAAGGGTTATTAGCATCTTCTTAGCACAGATCAAGGCAGCAGGAACTAAACTGCCCTAGTAGTCACCTGTATTCTTCACTGGCATTTGCAGTATGTACTGCAGTAAAAGAAAAACAAAAACAAAAAAATGCCATTTTCACTAAAGAGGTCTTTGATGAAGCAAAGACTATTAATTTTATTAAATCTGGTTCTTTGAATGCTATTAACATGGTATTACTGAGTAGTAAATATTAAGTCTAGTCCCTCGAGCAATGTTCTGTGCAATGAATGCATAAATCACTCCTCATATAAAGTTCAAAGACTGTTGTTATTAAGGAACACAATTGTGTAATTGAGTTGTGAGCTTAACAAACTGCTTTCCCATGAAATAACATCTTTATCTGACAAAACAAGTATGACAAACCATGGTTGTTCAGACTATGGTATTGGCAGACATTTTCTTGAAAAAATGCATGAAGCCTATCATCTCAAGAAAAACAAACTTGTTGCCCATGATAAGATCTGAGTTTTCAAGAGAAAATTAAATTTTAGAACACTTGAATCCACCACTGTGAACATAACAGATTCCTAATACTTAAAAGGGTTTTCAGATGAGATGTGTGTGATACTACCAAAAGAACAGCAAGTCGTCATTACAAATATTCATGCATTAGATGGGTAAGCTGCAGGTTGCGTGATGACCTTTCAACTTAAAAGTCTCAAAGGTTTGTGAAAAGTCAGAACTAGAATTCAGGTCGAAATTTTCCAGTCTAGTGTTCTTCCACAGTACTAACTCAATTTAGTGCTCCAGTCCCAGTGCCTTCCTCCCACCCCCGGATTCTGGAGTTTTAAAGTACCGATCGTCTATTTAGCCGCCCATACCTTTTCTCCATGTATATACATGTGAATTCACACACTCTGCTAATGGCAACAGTTACTAAAACACACTTTAATCAAGAGCTAAGTAGGTTAACAGATGACAAGAAGGATGTGAGATACAGAAATTATCTTTGTCTAAGGTACAATTAACTACCAACAACAATCAATCTAACCTGTGCCTAGAAGATGAGGGAGTCCTCCTCCTCCTAGAACGTGATCTTGACCTTGAGTGCCTTCGTTTTTCTTCTTTCTTATCTGGATTTTAAAAAAAAGGAACCTGGACTTAGAAATCATCAAATAGATTATGCCCATTCAGGAGTTATTCTAAGAAATATTATCTTAATTTTCAGATTTTATATAACATCCTTAAATGGTTTATGATCCTTTTTTCTAGACTTTCGGTAGATCCAAATTAGACATCTGATTTTCAACTAACCAAAAGTTCCTTTGACTCTTTCATTTGTACCAGACTTGGAAGGCTGTGATATACTGTCCATAAACAATCTATGAAAAGGATTATCCTTCTCATTCTTTACAGGTTTCTAAATGAGGAGTCCCTTTTTCCATTCCTAGGTTCTACTTTCCCAAATACAGCTATAATTTACCCAGTTTAAAACTTTATTTTCATGTGTTATGTATTAATGACATTTCCCCAATCAGCACTTAACTGTAAGATAAATACATTTGATAGATTTATAATAAACAGAAATATAGACATTTTAAATTCATTAAAATGTTCCTTCTTTACCACTTAAGTCTATGCTCCTCTGCTAAAATAAATTCCTGTCTGTTTATGTTAAAGTGGTTGATAAAGAGGCTCAATATTTGGCCTTCAATTCTACAAAGTCATGACTCATTCACTGTTCTCACTATACTCAGACAGAACTGGGTTTTAGTAAGCTAGCTCTCTTTCTTAATCTGTCTGAACCTCCTTCTTCCTCTCCAATTTTCAATTGTGTAAGTTAGGAGACAGATCTAGATGGTTTGACTCCCATTTCTTAGTTTTTAAATAATACAAAAGCAATTCCTTTAACTTGGGACTTAAGAGAAATAAAGACATTGCATTCTTCAAACATGACTATAATCAAAGACAGATTGAGTTCTTTCACATTTAGATCATTTCATTAATAGGAGTCAATTTATTGCAAATGTCAATATTAATAATAAATTAACAAAAATCTTGGGGAGAGGGGAATTCATAAATAAAACACTTTTAGTATGTCCAGTTATTAGTTTTCAATGAAAACAAAAAGTTACAGCATGGTGTTCTATCTAGCTTTGGGGTCACATACATCCAGTTGTGTATCTAAAGCTCCTACTGCTTGCTTTGTGGCCTTGGACTAATTAATTCTCTTGATTAAATAACAGACACAAAGCACTGAGAATTAATTTTTCCAATGTTATAATTATCTTCCTAATACTATACATATCTAAAACCTTCCCATTTATTAAGAAATAGGAGTGAAAAATTAGTAAAACATTATTTAATGGGGGAAAAAATAATCTGGGACCAAACATCCAATCTATACAGGCAGACAATAGGATAACCATTCATTTCATCTCAAAAAGACAATCTGCAAAGAACAAGGCACTATTTTTAGGTATTTGCTTTTCTTTAAACAAATGGCGTAACAGAAGTATCTTTAGTAGGTTCTCTAGGTCAAATGAAAGACTGAAATCAATTAGGCTATCCCAATATAGGCAAACATAAATCCAGGCACTACTATTAAGGAATGCATCCTTCTTTGACGGATGGGGTAGAGTGCCTTGTAGGATGTTTAGCTACATCCTGATCCTCTACCCGCTAGAGATGCAGTTGGTACCAGCACAAAAATTAAGTATCTCCAGATTTTAAATTATGTCCAGGTGACCGTTCCCTCCCCTGACCCAGGATTACTCTACTACATGCTCTTTTATCAGAATTTGGAAAATTAAAAAATGATTATAGTATTACTCAACATATTCCCAAACTTACACAATAATCATTTTCGTCAATAATCCTGTAGTTTAAAATTCAACACAACTGCCTAACATATTTTACCTGGTTCTATAGCAGCAGAAATTAGGGACTGTGCTTCTCGTACTCTCTTCATGGCTTCCTCTATTTCTTTACTAGAGGTATCTGATTTCAGACTTGGTGAAACAAGACCAGCAGCTACATGATTCAACCTGAAACAGAACCAAAAATTGAGAGCTGAAGTATTTTAAAATGCACAACAGTATTATAAATAAATGTGTTAATGTTTTATATATCATTTTAGTAAGATACTACTTGAAAAAAGGGGAGATTTCATGTTAATCTTGGTAAAACCATGTATAGTATACTATCCTTTTCAATATTTACAACCTGCATTTTAAAGATTGAGAGACACCTGGAATAAGAAAAATACCTATTATTTTGCTGAACATCCATTAACTTTCCATAAACACAAGTTGAGAAATGCTAGTACCTGGGAATATGCAGATGCTCAAGATTTTTGATTAACAAAACTTTTCCTTCATACGATTTAAAAGCTTTCTACAGCAGAATTAAAGAGTATTACTTGTAAGGTTGCAGATGGACAGAAAATGAGGCAGAGGTCAATGGCATACCAAAGTTACTCATGAAATTGCTGACTGAAAAGATGGACCTTTTAAAAGGTTTACTACATGTGAAAAAAAATTACAGACAATGAATATAAGATAGTTAATTATTTGTGGAGAAAGCGCAATGTGAACAAGAATGGGTTCAGAGGGAATTTCAACTGTACTGGTGTTATATTGCTGGGTGGTTGGTACATGCTAAGATTTTATCAGATAATTTTTAAGAAAAAAGGCACTAATCACTACAGTCAAATGATTCTATTCTCCCTCCCCCCACACTCTCCCACTTATAGTGAATTTCACCAGGCAGAAAAAGCATTAAGTTCAAATTTAATATAATACCAGGAAATTATGAAGTAAAATATCTCATGACTTTGTTATATATCAATTAGAGAATGTTACAGCACAAAGAGAACACTTCAAGGCACCTAAAAAAAGATGTTGGTATTATGTGACATGCACTAGTCTTTTGCTCTGGGATAGTGTTTCCTTCCCTTCTGTGTCCCTGACTCCTATTCATGCCCCAGGCTCAGCATCTCTGATCTTAAGTTCTCCTTGTAATAAGTTCCCATAGCCCCTGTGTATTTCCTCTTGTTGTATGCACACACTAAATATAGACACTTTACTATATTTAAATAATATCTCTCTTTCTGACTAGAGTATAAATGCTATGAAGGTACAAGCTTATAGTAGTACTCAGTATATATATATTTTTCAAATGAACCAACTAAAGAACATTTAGCTCTTTTCCTGTCATCCTGGCAGATAATACTCACAACTGTTCCGAAAGACTCAACTTATACTGAAACAAAACCCTTTAAAGATGGGCTTACCTCTGAATTTTTCTCATTTCTAGAAAACAGAATTATGTATTGTGTAACTTGAAATAACTTTCCTTTTAACTACCAAAGCATAACTTCTCCATTCACATACTATATCCACATCACCCAATGGAAACACAGAAAAAAATCCTTACTTGGGATCAACAGTACTCATAAGCTTCAGCAACTGATCTGCAGCAAGAGACTGCAAAAACAAAAATATAACAACAGTGAGAATACATAAAATAAATGACTGCTATTTTATTTTCTCAGTATGTTGAAATGCCTTAGGAGAATCAGGCCAACGTACACAAAGTAACATTATTTTAGGCACACTGATGACCAACAGAAATATAATGCCAGTGAAATACATCATGTTAAGTTGAGCTGCTTTAGCAAGTTAAATATATTATTAGCTGAAAAGTCTAGGTTTTATAGAACAGTTACCTCTTGCTTATTCTGAGACTTTCTGAGGAGGTCACATTTCAAAGAAATGTGTAAAACGTAACTCCAAGTGTTCAGGCAGTATAATAAGATTTCCACAAAGTAAGGTCTTCAGAAAAAAGTTCAGCCAAATAACAATGAGAGAAAACAAAAATTTCCGAGTAACAAGAAAACAAATTATGAACCCACGTTCCCATCCTTTCATGATTATTTATTCTGACTCCAAACATACTGATGTATTGGCTTCCTGTGAAACTACTCTGAACTGCATAAAATGAGAAATTCTCTAATGGTCAAGGGGCTACTAATGCAGTGGCCTTTTAAACTTCTCATTAACAAGTTTACGTAAAAAAAATTATTACTATACTGTAGCAATCAGTTATCTCCCATTCTGGAAATGCGAACTTAACAGTTAATGGAACAAATTTCTTTAATTATAAAAATGAGCTCAAAGTTGAAGGGTATTCAGTTATACCTGAGAGTTCAAGTTTGCTCCAGGAAGCCCAAGTGCAGCAAGGGCAGGATCAAGAGTAGGAGCTCCCAAAGCAGCCAATGGAACAGCGCCAATCTGTGAAATTTCAAATATTATTTACTTAAAATTTAATTTCTGTTCCTGATATTATTTTTTCCCGTTTAAAGGACCATATAATAACTAATTTAAGTCTGAGCTATGTGGGCTCTGTTGCAACTACTCAGCTTATATGCCACTGTAGCTTGAAAACAAAGATAATACTAAATGAACAAATGGGCATGGCTGTCAAATCAAAATGAACAAAAACGAGGGTCTGGACCAAGGGCTGTAGTTTGCCTACTACCCCTGCAATATACAATGTCCTCATTTCTCACTCATTACAGCACATTTATCCCTAAAACCAGAAATTAGAAAAACATAAAAAAGTTTTATATATTCATGTGCCAACAATTTGTATTTGTTGCTTCTCAGCTCCAAATCCACTGTTCTTTGCCCCTTTTGTGATAATGAAAGCAGCACCCTTATAAGCATTTCTCCCTCAACAGCTGGCGTGATGTCAAGCTTTATCTGTAGGGGGAGCCAGGACGACACTGGAAGGGGTTTCTCTTCGTCGTTCCTTTGTTCACTTTCTGATGGTTACTGCAGTGGGATGCAGTGGCTTTCACCTCTTTATTTGAGAGAGAGAGTGTGCGCGTGCACCTGAGCACAAGCAGGGGGAACGGCAGGCAGAGGGAGAGGGAGGAGCAGGTTTCCCGCCGAGCAGGGAGCCTGATGCGGGGCTCAATCTCAGGACCCTGGGATCATGACCTGAGCCAAAGGCAGCCTCTTAATTGACTGAGCCACCCAGGCGCCCCTGGCTTTCACCTCTTTAGTGAGTTTCAGTACCATCCTTTTGGGCAGCTTCTTACAAGTTCTGTGGGCACCCCAGAGAACTTCTGTACTATCCAGCCTTTTGAAGGAGGTCTGAAACTTAGCCTTCAGGGGGAAGAGGAACCCCCTCATCTAATGTGTTTCCTGTGTTCTTTCTTCCTCAGATCTAGAAGTACTAGTTGCTTCCTATACCTGTGATTACTGTATATTCACTGGCGTTCCACTAAGTAATCTCCTATTACTAGTTAGTAATTCTTTATATTTAACTTTCCCTATTTAAGTTACCGTGTGTGGGTTTTTTTTTTTTTGTCTCCTGCCTGGCATAATTCTAGTCAATAATAGATGCAAACCATGCAAAGTCCTATTGGAGGCAGTCTGACTTTCTCTGTAAGAACTGTGCTAAAAGTTCTTCTAGCTTTTAATAATATTTAGTAAGTAAAAGACACCAAACTTTCTGTACTTTAACTGTTTATGGAGTACAATTAAAATAGTATCACTATAAAGTGTCTACCTTAGTTATTATACAATTTTATACATTGAAGGAATCAATCTACAAATTACCCAGATCCTCATAAGTAAAAAATGAGGAATTAAGAGACAAAGTCATACTCAAAAAACATGGGAATTCCTGACTTCATCCTTTTTCTGACTTAACAGTTAATGGAACTGTTCAGACAGGCAAAATGATATAATAGAAAAAAATGCTGTTATAAAATTCTAGTTGAGGCTTGCTGTTCGATATCTGTGAAACCACTCACTGACCAGTTACAATCTCTCTGAATAAGGATACATGAAATTTAAAGAGCTTTTTAGTTCTAAAACAATATGCTTTTTACAACATCCTATCAAGTTAGAACATTACCTAGCAAAAATCTTCTCCAACTTTATTTCATCTTCCCCATGTTAAAAATCTCCATTAAGAATTCATCTTTATTTCAAGCCATGTACTTAATTCAAACCTCAAGAGCAAAAGATCAAAGGGCATTGAGAAAGAAAAAAACAGTAAGTCTCAATTTCACCTTTATTTTCTTTCTGGGTCCAAATGAACATACTATTTTTAACAGCATGTTCAACAGAAGTCTTATGCCTCATGATATTGCAGCCCTACCCCCTCACCTGCCACCCACGTGGTTCCTTATTTTGAGAGCTAGTGGAAAACGAAATACAACAGATTTATGATTTTCAGAATGTTCTTCAAATGCAAACTCCCAAGAGGTTTTCTTCAGTATTTATGATTGCAATACAGCCTTTCACAATACTGTGAACGCGTGGTATCACTCTGTGAACTCTACTCATTACAGCACTTAAAAAGCTCCAGTATGTTTAGGTTTATCCACAATTCTGTGTTCCTTTCTATCCTTTAAGATTTCAAATGGAACAAGCAGTACCTGGGTAAGTGGGTTAGGGGTAGGCAGGAGTCCACCACCAGGCAGAAGACCTGCCACTGCATTAGCTGGTGCCAACAGAGACAAAGCCTTAGTCTCATCAGGAATAACTCCTGCAGAGAAACATCCTTGCATTAGAACACACTTTTTTGCAAGACAGAAAACACACAAAAACACCCAGAAAAAGTCTCCCTGATACACCACCTGAGTTTGTTGAAAGTACTTATGTTCGCTAAAATATAAAGCTTGACTTCTATGATTATTTATCATTAATTTTATGTCAGAATGAAACTTCAATGTGTGAAAATTTGTTTCCTTTTTCTCTACAAATGGTTAAGTTTCTAGAGTAAAAAAAAAATAGCACAATACACACTACTTTTTTGTTAACACTGCCAAGATTTCATCACCTGTACTCGATTTTTAAGTCATGAACCAAACGTAAGCAAGCACAGTCGGTTCTCCAGGGGTGTGCTCTCAACTTTCAAAAGCTGTTTTATGAACAACGACTCGTGTCGGCTGCTTCACTATAAAGCACACAGAAAAATCAAGATACACAAGACAAAAAAAGTTTGATTTAGGGGTTAATAATATGGTACAGTTACTATGATTTTCTTTTACACCTACCATACAAATTTTGTAAAAATTAAGAGAAGAAAAGTATGTAAAGGAAATATTCTGTTGGAATCAAGCGTAGGGCTTTTGCTGACTCATGAAAATGAATATGAATGTTTCTGAAGGTCTCTGAATACACACAGGATGTGTGTGTGAAAGTGAGTAAGAGAGAGAGAGAATAGGTAAAACAACATGGCACATTCCTTACCTGTATAGTAAAATGCTTTATGTTCCAACATGTGCCATGCTAACCATACCAAAAATGCTGCTACATAGTGTCAGTTCAAAAGCTAACTTAGCCAAACTCCTAAAGCCAAAAACAACATGTATGTCTGTTTTTAAAGCCTAATCTGTGTATTCAGATAAAATCTAAGGGCCCTAAAACAAATATTTATGTAGACAATTTAAATTCTATCCAACAGCAAAAGCCCTATACAGATGGATTAATCTGTTAATGTGCCCAAGCCCCCAAAATGAGAGTTCAATAATACAATTAAACTACATATTTGCAAATACCAGTAGTATTTCTGTAATACATATTAAGAAACTGCATCTCATCATAAAACATACAATATGTACAGGGCACTTAAGAGAAACTGGATAAGCTGCAGAAGAAAACTGTTGGGTGGTATTTTCAGCAGGGCCTGGTATATAGTTCAGGCTGAACCAGGGAAAAGAACTGTAAAACACAACAACAAAAAAGAAAAACCACTGTTAAATAAAGGTAATGGTTCCTTCCACCTATACTGAGAAGTGCCGATAATATAAACAAATGTATACTACACAGCACTGTTATCTTGCTTGTGTCAGAGCTGTCATCAATTTAGATACCAAGAGTTATGGAGGGGTGGGGGAGAAAATCATTTAGATATAGGGCATTAATGCATCAATATTAACAAACCTACAGAGATTATGGGATAATTTTGCATGCAAAATTATGTCTCAAGAGGATAATATTAAGTATCAACATCTTACTCAAATCAGTGCATTTGCAACATTTCTGGCAAACTAAAATCCTCTTGAATTTATTGTGAGACACCTGATAGAAGATCTGCATCCATTAAAAAAAAAAGTCATGCATCTGATCCTCTGATTTAAAAAAGACTATTTAAAAATAAAACTACAATTTAAAAATAGCAATGAGGCCCCTCACCAGTTAATTTTCATGCGTCAAGAGTATTTTTTTTACTGCTGCTTTGATAGAACCATGAAATACTGCATGAATGTGTAGAAATGAAAGAAAAAGAAACAGACAAAAGAAACAAACATTAACCAAGGAACCTAAATAACCCCCAAATCCATTACTATTAAGAGTTCCTTCCAAATCCAGCTATCTCGGTTTTACCAATTAAGACTATTCCTTACCGTAGACTTTGTGTCTATTGTTCTAAAACACTGACCAAGAGCCAACACCAAAGTGTAAGAGCTAAAACTAGGGTGAATGGTGACAAAGGGACTGAGTACATCAATTATTTAGCGGTGGTAACATTAATACAGCATACCATACCAATAATTAAATAAACCAAAAATAGATTCTGGAACTAAATATTTCTATAATTCTATATACATTCCTAAACATTTCATTTACAAAACAGACCTAGAAAGGATACTATAGTCTAAAAATACTTATGAAAGCCAGTTATATGATATACTGTATTATGTTCAGGACTTGGGAACTATGATACTTAGCCAATAAGAATTCTTTAAATTTAAAGCCTAACTAAAGTTCTGCACATTACTCACATGATTTGAACTTTGTTTCAAAACTGTATTTTACTTATCCTAAATCTGAATTCTGTATATTTTCTCTTGGTGGTAAGTCTTATCCTACAACAGGCACACTGATATAAAAGAAATTGCTTAATCAAAACACACTAACTCAAACGTTTATCAGCATATATATTTTAAAACCTTAAAATAGCGCTCACACACTTTAATATCACGGAGACAGATGTACTATTATTATATAGCATGCCTTAATCCATCTATGAATGCAATTTAACTTCTTTAGAAAACCACAAAGGCAATTTTTCTAAGTTTTAAGGACTAGACATTTCACAACTTTTACAAGGCATGGTGTAAATGTTCACACTGGTATTCAAAGATCTGAGATAGCATCTAAAGTTAACAATATCAAAATTCTGCTTCCACTGACCAGTTCATTAAGGGGAAAGCATTTAAATTCTGGTCAGCATATATGTTAAATTATTAGCTTAAAATCCAGTAATTTTATCATATTTCAGTGATTTCTTTGATCAAAATTTATAGTTACCGAAAAGCAAATAAAGTAGCAGTACATTGGGAACAAACTAATTATAAAATATGTTTCAGAAAATTTTACAAAATGGAATTAATATAGTGCTGTCTTGTCACAGTGGCTTTTTTAGATCCAAAACCCTGCTCATTATTTTTCTGTCAAATTACTTTAACAGCCTAAAATGTAAAAAGAGAGAAAATGTAGTTAACAAATGGATGGTTACACCAGGAAAACACTTGGGGGACTTGAGTGCTTGCTGGCCTTTAGTTAATGTCTAGAATCCCCTGTAGCTGCAGAGGACCCACTGTTTTTCAGTCATCTGGAAGAGTTTTGCATTTGCCTTCTCCACTACAAAAATCACACACACAAATAACAGAGAGAAGAATTTATTATTTAGAGATATCTAGAAAATATAGCAAGAATGAACAAGAAAATCTGGCATAAAAACAAATCACCCAGTGCCCATCTGGCACCTAAGCTACAGAAAATCTTGAACTTTCATAAAAAACAAAATCATTGCAACCCTTGGTATACTGGAAATCAATGTGGGATTTTTTTTTTAAAGTTATCTGTGAGAGGAAGCACTACATAAATAAAACTAACCTAGTCATTTATTCAAAACAGAAATAACATCATGCATTTATTTGAAGGTTTCTACGTAAATGTGCATGGAGTGAACCATTCACCTTCAGGGCTTTTTCATAAAACTCAACATTAAATTAACTAAGTAGGTATATCTTAAGAAATTACAATTAGGGATATGGTTTTAACGAACTTAAAATGTTTTAAAAGAAGGCAAAAAGTTAAATATCTTATAAAAACAGGTCTGATTTCTAATTTTTAGAATTAAAAAAAATCTGCAAGTAAAAATATGGACTGCAGTATAACAAGGGTTTCAAAACGTTAATAGCTTAAATTTCTAACATGCTACTAACGCTCACTCTAAAACTATACTGAGGTAGATGGTCATCATAGGATGCCCTCATAGGTAGTTAAACAAAGCACAAACCTTCTGCATATGGTACGACTATCAAAGCTCTGTCAACGAATACAGTGTTTGTCAGATGCTGTGCCACAACTGCTGAGTCCGGGTCATGGAACTTAACAAAGCAGACACGGGATGAGACTGGCAAAGGTGAATCACTAAAAAGTAAGCAAACAACATAAAAAAAGAGAAAAAGAATATCAGCTAAAACACAAACGTATGACTCACAAACCAACACTTGCATTCCAAAAGTAAAATAGGCAGATAAAAATACATACCATATGTGTTACTTTAGTTCACCACTTAAAAAGGAAATGACATTTCAAATAAGGTACTGCCCACTGAACTCACAAATTGTACGGAGACAAAAACAATCACTGTTTATAAACTCACAGTGTATCAAGTTAAAAACAGTTTGAAACTGTAATCTCAGAGTTTGAGCTGACCACAAAAGTGTCAACATTTTTTCCATAATACCAACACCAGCTATTTTTAATTATAAGTAAAAATAATTAGCTTTGGTTTAGAAAACTTTCCACTACTGGTAACTTTTCAGAGTAAGAAACAAAGAATTTCTACTTCAGGGATAAAAGAATATTGCGGGAAGTACATCTATTTGACTATCAGTGAGTTTTCTTAACCTGCCTACTAAGTGCTGTCCTTTTCTACCTACAGCATAACTCCTAGGCATTATAAATAAATAAGGCTACTTTACTCTGAGCACCTTCAGAAAAACAAATGTGTACACACATGAAGATACATAGTACCCCCTAGTATTTTTAGACAAAAATTCCCTCAGCAAATTGCTTTCTTAGGTAAAAAAGCGCTAAAATGCAACCTATGGCAGGGTAAGATAGATAGATTAGGCAGTGAGCAGGATTTTTTTTTTTTTAAATACAGGGTGGTTCAAATTTCTGCCACAAAACTCTGTGAAAGAGAAAGATTAAATAAAAGTCCGGGGTTGCTCCCTTAACTCCAAACCAAAAGTTGTGAAAACCAATGTCTTAAAGTAGTAGTAATCACATCATCCCTGGCTATACATCAGAATCACTGGGGCGGGGGGGGGGGGAGGGGGGGGACAGGACGACGACACGACACCCAGACTCTCTACTCCACATCAATTAAACCAAGATCTTTAATGTACTGAATGCCTCCTCTTTATTTTAATTCTGTGACCATTTTAATATGCAACCAGGATAAAGAATAACTGCTTTATTATAATAAGCCAATTGCATCTTAAGATTCAATAATGAAAAGGTAAATCCTATAATAAATTTGGCTGGCTTTAGAATAGGGCTTACTGCTAACTCTTCTAATAAATCAGATTTTCATGTATACATAAAAATGTAATTACATCAGATTTGGCTACACTGGTATTTCAGAGAGAAGTTTGTTGTTGCAAAGAAAATTTTCCTCATAATTTGAGCACTAACATGAAGCTACTATATAGCCCAAGAACTCAAACCCATTAGAACTTTTAATAATGTTTCCTGAAAGGCACTGCCCATATACTAAGCACAGATCCAAATAATCTAGGTTCAAAGCGAAGTTGACAATACTGTCTATCCAAATGGAATTTAAGCCATCTTGTTAAGGAACCTTACTGCCAAATGTTTTTGAAAGGATACAGTGTTTTTTTTTAATGTGGATACAGTGTTTTTTTAATGTGAACCACTACTGGTCTAAAATTTAACAATGTTGCACCCATATAGCAGAAAGAATGCCATTTCAGCGGTTTAGAACTAAAGCTATAGCACTTTGTATCTCTTTTCTTACATAGCCACATTTTTACCACAAAATTTAAAAAGCTCTTTAAATGATGCTATCCTTCATTTTTAACACCTAACATAATGGTTTGGGAAGTAATAGACATTTAAATTTCTTTTTTTTTTTTTTAAAGATTTTATTAATTTGACAGAGAGAGAGAGACTGCGAGAGAGGGAACACAAGCAGGGGGAGTGGGAGAGGGAGAAGCAGGCTTCCCGCTGAGCAGGGAGCCCAAAGTGGTGCTCAATCCCAGGACCCTGGGATCATGACCTGAGCCGAAGGCAGACGCTTAACAACTGAGCCACCCAGGCACCCTGACACATGGGAATTTTTTATACTACCTTGCAACTTCTCTATAAATCTAAAATTATGTCAACATAAAAAGTTTTAAAAATTTTAAATAGTTTTTTTTTTTAAGATTTTATTTATTTATTTGACAGAGAGAGATAGTAAGAACAGCAACACAAGCAGGGGCGAGTGGGACAGGGAGAAGCAGGCTTCCCACCGCAGCAGGGAGCTGGATGTGGGGCTCGATCCCAGGACCCTGGGATCATGACCTGAGCCGAAGGCAGACACTCAACGACTGAGCCACCCAGGTGCCCCTAGACATTTAAATTTCTAAAAAAGTGATCTCTACCATTTCTTTGACACTACTGTTATTTGACTAAAGAAAATGACTCTAATATTAAGCTCTTAAAGACTATCAATACAATGAAAACAGTTCTTTTTAAAATAAAATTAGGAAATACTGTGTACATTCTCAGTGTATTTCCATTAATTTGGCAATTAAAATGATTCATATTTTTTCTATCCATCTACATCATAGCTATTACTTGCAGCTATTACTTGCTTATATCAAACCTGTAAGTGGTGGGGAGATAAAAACATAAATAATTATATACCATGGAAAAGAGAGTCACCGTATGACAACTCAGAAGGGCAAATAATTCATTTCTCCCAACTTCAAACTTATTTAAAACCATTACCATTTGGGCCCACAGTCACATTCTTTTATGTTCTCAATTTATTAATAGAAGACACACGCTAATAAGATAGCAAGTTAATTTCACTTTCAGACTAATGCCTGAAATTTTCATACCTTAGAATTCTGTGCAAGTACCACTTCTAAAAATTAAACTGTTTTTTATTCTTTACCTTTAAGAATTAATATAGATGAGGTAGGGCAGATAATGAGAAGCAAGATAGGAAAGAGCGAACCCTGTATGATGCTTTTGTCTTTAGGTGAAGAGTGGCAGTATTTTTCCAAATTTTTTTTTTTTTTAATTAAAATGTCCTCTAAGGGTTGTTTCCCAATCTTCCGGGATGCACATGGAAAAGTCAGATTTCTGTTTTCCATCAAGCCCAATGAATTTGAGAATCCCTTTATAAGAGGGCTTTGATTCCTAAAACCCACACTTGATATTTATGCCAACTAAAGTATGAGAACTAAAGTATGAGAACTTCTGGGTCAGACCATGACACTTTTTCAACTCCCACCTTAATACTGTGTTAACCATTTCTGATAGAGAATTTTGAGCTTATAATTATAAACAAAGGCAATGTTCACCTGAAAATGTGACTCCGTTCACCTAATATGCCCTCTCCTTCACTGTGTTCTTACTCAGTTATAAAGAAATACAGTGAAACGTTGCATGTAATATTTTAAAGATAACCTTACCAACTATAGCTACTTATACTTATCATCATTAAAGTATAACGTGTAAGTATTTTTGGTGCTCACTTCCACAGCACATATATTAAAACTGGAATGATACAGAGAAGATTAGCATGGCCCTGTGTAAGAATAACACTCAAATTTGTGATGCATACCATACTTTTAGTTTTTTTCTAATAATATAGTTTTTGTTAGAATGTCTGCAAACTTTTCCTTAGTAATTTAATGTATTTTTTTTTTTTTTGCTGTGAAAGAAAATTATAATTTTATTTTTGTTTTTCAGTTGGATGAGCAAAGGAGTTCAATGTCAGTCTGTGACTGAATTAACTTTCAACGATTTGGTCACTATAAAAAATAATCTATTTTTGGTCACTGAAATAATTACCTAAGTTATTTAAGTAATTGATGTGAACCTTCATTTAATGCGTAACTTTGACATATGCTTCCCTGGGATCATTACCCAATAAACACTCCAGTTATATCCTCCATTCTGAAATACACTAACACCAAACATTTAAAGATTTATTACTGTAAAAGAATGATTCCACTCATAAGTTCCTTATAAACCAAGGAAATCCTTCATCAAGTAGTAAACGAAAATCACAACACTGGGGTTGAAATACTAATTCTGACACTGGTAGAGTGATTTGGAAGTGCAAAACAACCTATGTGAATTTCAGTTCACTTGTTCATAGAACAGGTTTAAAATAAAAAAGGAAAGCATCTAGCATATACTAGACAAACAATGTTGAATTTCCAAAATGCATTTTAGGGACAACTAGAATTAAAGTTAATAATTTTCCTTTAAAAGAGAGGGAATAAATGAGGGGAACACCGAGAGATGCTTTCAAACAGCTCTAAGGGCTGTCATACCGAAGAGAGGGTTCGAATATTTCTTGTGAAACAGTATGATCACTGGGTGCAATTATGGGCCAGCAATTTCTGGCTTAAAAGAACCAAGAAAGAGAGGGATTCTGTAATGAAACAAAGGGAGAAACCTTCTTGAGGAGGTTGACAATGAAACGTTTGGCATAATCCCAGATCCTACGATCACCACTGCACCACCCTCCCATAGGCATTTATAACTGAAAGCATTTCAGTAGGTGTGGGTTAAGGCTGTCATATATGCACTTTAAAAAATGCTCTATAGGTGATGTTGCTGACCCAAGGAGCCACATATTCTAAAAGAGAGAGAAGCTAAACTTAGAGAAAAACAAAGTAGTTAAACTGAACAGGGAAGGGAGCAGGGGTGTTTTATTTTCACACAGGATGATCAGGGAAGGTTTCTCTGATTAGGTGACAACTGAGTATCAAAAGTAAGCAAGCAAGTCATAGGCATATATCCAGGTGAAAAGAGTTCTAGGTGAATATGAATGCCTTTGGGGGAAAAAAATACAAATACCCCATAAAAAAAATCAAGCGGCAAGCATGTTTACAATAGTTAGAATTTTATATATTCTGAACCATTCAATCTTATTCTAGGAGTAAAAGTAGATTTTTAGAATGATGAACCTTTTTGGAGTACTAGTTAGGACTTCATAGCACATGATCCCTTGCAAGCTGCTCCTGAAGAATGGTAGTAAGCTTAAAGAAATTGTCCAAAGTAGTTCCAAATTATGCAGGTCAGATTAGCAATTGAAACTTACATTTAAAAAAAAAATCAACATTAAATGAACAAAAGTAGGACGCTACATCCATCCTATTCAAATCTAGAAGGCCAAGAAGGTTAATATTAGCGTCTACTAAATTGTAACCTTGTATAGTTTCAGATGAGAAATTACCTATATGTGGGAACATATATGAAGAAGTCAAAGAGCAAAGATGTGCCATTTTTTATCTCTTCGTCCTAATACAGGGAAAAGAGTCCTCTTAATGCACAGCACCCCAGACCATGTTATCTGATGCACATCAGTTATTCCCGTTATGATAGTACTCCTTTGACAACAAAGCAAAAAAGCCAGACTCTGGTCCATCATGACCCTAAGATATTGATCATTCATTAAGTAAAAGAGGAACCAGTGAACAGCCTATACCTCTGTCATCTTTTTATAAATGCATCATAAAAAGAGCATCTTCAAAATAAAACATTTTAAAGTCAGCAACTATAACAAAATTCTTAACTTGCTGGGCTGGAAAGAATTATTTCATAAATCAATCCAGTATGTCAGGTACTTTGAATAATAACATGATTATAATGATCACATGCATCACTCTCATTTTCTGCCTTTTTGCTGTTTGCTAATTTCACGAACAACTTAATAAAGGGCATGTTGTGAGAAAATGGAGTAACAGCAAAATTATTTTTGTATGTTCATACTATGAAAGCTTTTTGTCCTTCATTATGAAAAGCAGTCAAGTTTCCATTCAAAATAACAAAAATGTTTGTTTCCAGAATTCTACACTTCGTGAAAATCAGTAACTGAAATCTTTCGCTGCATGTATATTCCCCTAAAAATTAAAGACACCAGACCCATTTGAAAACATTAATCATCATCTAAAAGCATTCTAAGTAGAAAGTGATGAGGTATGGGAAATAGTTAATATTGCATTTTACCATCAACTTCTATTAATTTCTTTTCTTAGAGTAAAAATGCATTTAGATTAATGATTTACTACAGCCACCAGAACAGTGGATTCCTTGAGAATTCCAATTTCCCGTTTAGTACTTAAGTGACATCATAAAACTCTCAATGTATACTGGGTACTCAGTGTTTACTTATAGCAACACCTGAATTTTCACTCTTCACAAAGAGGACGCCACTGTTTTATTATTTCAAATGTTTGTTCTAATATTTATCACATCTTACTTCAAAGCTTTTTTTCTTTGCAATTAACCCACTCATTTAATACTTTTTCAGTAAGAATGTGAGACAACAGAATAAAAACAAAAAGCCATACACTCTAAATTCAAAAATTTAACATTCTATAAGAACTGTGAAAATATAAATGTGTACGTTATTTAAACAAAAGAAAACCTTACGTTTCAGCTATAACCCATTTTTGTCATTATAAAAATTAAGTATTCAGGCTCACTGAATTAATCATCTGTCAAAGAGTATTAACTCTGAATTATCTTCACTGGGCCAGAATCCGTCAACGGCAATACTTACAATTAACTGACAACAAACCAAGTTATCAAATTAACATAAGAATGAATTGTTACTTTTCAAAGAACTCAAACATTTGTTTTTAAAAAAGTGATTAAACTATATACAAAACACAGAATGTGCAGTTTGCCTTGCTCTAAGTGCTCAAAAAAACGACCACGTTGTCACAATTTAAGAAAAAACCCCACCAAATCCCAAGATTTTAAAAGCCTGTGTCTCTTTAACACGCAAAACCCTGGCCCTGCTTCTTCGCATTAAGCCTAAAAAGTAGTTTCTTTCGTAAGTAAATGCAACAGCTGGCCTCAACTAAACGCAACCTGGTCCAGAGAAGCGTCGACAAGGGCCTAGGAAATGGTGTAGGTTAGGCCCGGAATGGGGAGGAGTCAGTGAAAACGGTGATGGTGGACGATACTCACTCTGGCGGGAAGAGGCGCAGTTCGTCGATCTTGCCTAGGAAACCGAAGAGGGTCCGCATCTGCTCAGAGCTAGCGCTCGGGGAGACATTAGTCACCTGGATTACCTCGGTGCCGCCGCCTCCGCCGCCGCCGCCGCCGCCACCGGGCCCGCCGCTGGGGCCCGGGCCCGCAGTACTGGGGACGACGGTAGTGTTGCTCATGGCGCTGCTCGCCTTCTCGCTCCTGCTTTAACACATCAAACACACAACAAACAGTGAGAGGGAGGGGGAAGAGGAACCGGTTCGCCGGAGAGGAGACAGGAGGGTGTCCGATGCTACAGCCGCTGCTGCCACCGCCGCCGTTCCTCCACCCGGCCGCTGGTCGGGAGGGGGCTGCGGGGGGAGATGAGAACGCGCGAGTTCGAGACCACGAGAAAACAAACGGCCGCCCCCACCTCGCTTCCAACCACCTCACTCGCGGGCCCGAGCTCCCCACAATGCCTTGCGGCACTCGGGCGCGTCACCGTGGGCTCCGCCCCGCGCAGGCCCAGCCAGCCTCGCCCGCAGCCGGAGAAACGCGAGAGGCTCCGAGGTCTAATGGAAGTCGTTACCCATTTTCATCGCCCCCTTTTTTGAAGACGTGGAAGGCATTAACTTTTTAAAAAACAAGCATTCAATCCTCTGCAAAAAACTTCACACTTTAGCAACTATTATTAGAAATGCCCCCAATACGTATATCTTCACACAAGATCATCTCCATTTCTGTCCAGTTATTACTAAGGAAATTTCCACCGTAGCAACCAAAATTTTCCTCATCACTATAAAATTTTATAAATCTTTACTATACACACATTTGGTAACATTAAATTTTTTTTAAAGATTTTATTTATTTGACAGTACAAGCTGGGGGAGCAGCAGGCAGAGGGAGAAGCAGGCTCCCTGCTGTGGCGCTCGATTCCAGGACCCCGAGATCATTTCCTGAGGTGAAGGCAGACGCTTAACAGACTGAGCCAGCCAGGTGCCCCGGTACCATTAAATTTTTAACCAATCTGCTTTGTCACTAAAACCTTGAAAAAATACTTATTTTAATGTTATACTTACTAGTGCTTAATAAGCAAATTTTATTTCACAAGTTGACTTTTTAAAAGCACGCTTTATAGTACCTAAATATATTCAAGTATATGATCTGAAATTCCTACAGAAAAACTTGATTGGGGCGACTGGGTGGCTCAGTCGGTTGGGCGTCTGCCTTGGCTGGGGTCATGATCCCAGGGTCCTGGGATCGAGTCCCGCATCCGGCTCCCTGCTCAGTGGGGAGCCTGCTTCTCCCTCTACCTCTGCTGCTCCCTCTGCTTGAGCTCTCTCGCTCTGACAAATAAATGGATAGAATCTTAAAAAAAAAGAAAGAAAAACTTGATTTACATGCATATTCTTGCTTAAAATAATTTTGAAGTTTTGACCATAAAAAAAGACTGTCTTAATTTTTCAACCTCATTTAACTACTCTCCCATTTTCAACCACTGTTATCCAAAGACTTGCAGTTTTCCAAACATGACAAAATCTTTAATTTCACTGTGCCGTTATACAAATTATTAATGACCTCCCTCATTTTATCTAACTACCATCCTCTGGGGCCTGCCCTCACTGCCACAACTTCTGCAAG